AGTTCCGCAATATCGAATCCAAAAGAGTTGGCTGCCTGCTTTACTTCATATAATATTACAATTTTTGATATGGCATTCATTGCATTGCATTCAACGCACCAGTTGTGTTGCCAGAGCTAATCGGCTTATCGGGAAGGCTGTAAGGCTGTGGTCCTGTGACCCTGTGGCATGGTGCAAGACAGCAAAGAGTGTGATGAGTTGACCTCCGAAGATCCGTTGTTGTCACTATGGTCTTGGAGAGTTTCTATCAGCGCCTAATCTGACATGCATGGTAGGGAAACCATGCACGTGCATACGGCGCCGAAAACGAAGAGAGAGCGACAAGGATACCGTGGAAAACTATACGGTAAAGCACTGTCCATATGCAGCGCGGCCCCACATATGTTACACTGCCAACTGAAAGGTCGTTTTCTCTCTCCCTTTTTTGTTATTGGTTAGGAAAGAAGGGGAGCGCACATCCACGCAAGTGCCCGCGGTGGCAAGATCGGCGGCAACACCGGCTTGAGGGGTGGAGGCCCGCCTGCCCATCTTGCGTGTACCCGTACGCAATAATGCGCTCTCGCTCTCACCTAGGAGTTGCCGGGGCCATGAGTGTGCCGTGCTCGCTGCCGCCGCGTTGCGCTTTGTTAGCGGTGGGGCAATCGCAGAAGATACGTGTTGCGCCAAAATGACAATATTCGGGGCTAAATTCCTAGAATGTCCATAGCGAAAATTCGTTACACTAAGATTGTCTCCTGCTGCTACTTTGCTACGTAGAGGTCGCAAATGTTGTGCTTCTATGGAGTAATGGCAGGGAATAGAAAAACTGTAAAATCAAGGAATTCGTTATGGGGGTATTATAGGCAGGTTTAACTGTATTGATATTTATCTGTGTGAAATAGTTCACCCAAGACACCTATTTGTGTGTAAATGTGCATACCTGTCCATTAAATGGGCGTAAATGTTCATTAAACAACCACAGAAACCACCCCTGCACAACTACACTCAAACTGCACTATAACAAAGTTGCAGCTTACACGAAAATAAGTTTGTTGTAAAAGTGTATTTGTAACGCTGTATCTATTGCAAGACTAATTTTTGTTTACTTTGTTATAACCAATATTTTGTTATATATGGGTTCGTTATATCGAGGTCATTTTTTGTGTAGCTTCTATAGTTATTGAGTTATGCCATGCACAATAGCAAAAAGTTGCTTGTTTTGTGGGTACTCTTTTATGTACTTAACTTTCAGTAAAAGCATTGTGTCTGATCTTATTTGACTCTTGCTAGATTGTGAAGTGCAAATATCTATACAAATATGTCACAGAAGTGAACCAAGAAAAAAAATTGTATTGAATGGCTTATTATTTTCAATCTCCCTTGAACCTAATATTTTCACAATTAGTTCTGGTAGGCTTGTAACTTCAAGGAGATATTTGCATTCTGAATGTGTTGAAGAATATGCGTGCCAAGTTTGGCTACTATACAATAAGTATAAATGTCTAGAAGGCTGCCCGGAAAACATCAAATTGGCAAAAAAAAAAAATGAGAACGAGAAAAACAAGTTTGAAAGTTTGGAAAGTTGGCAATTATTAGGAAACCATTTTTTTTTTTCATCAAATTGGGGCACAATGAAAAGCAGCTTGCACTGAATGCTTGGAAGACCGAGAATCGCACAGAATCATGAAAGTTGGTCGTGGCCTGCGGCAATAGCGCGTGCTGCCAGAACTGCCTTCGCGTTTACAGCAAAGCTATGACGCGAGCTGACGCGAGTTCCTTGGTCCCTGGCCGAACTATTACATCTCGACGCGTGCGTGAATGAAAGTGTAGATTCAGGACGATCGGTATTTTCACAGCACAGCTCGAGGAATGCCGAAAGCCCTTTGCGCTTTTCAGCTACCTCTCGGACGCCGAGTTTCCATTTGCAGCAGACTGGGCATTGCGCACCCACCCCAAAGGCAGTCAGCGCATCGATTTCGCAAAGCAGTGTATTGGCAGTAGCAGCACCTACTGGTCCACGTTCACTCTCGAAGAATCCGCTCTTCATTTGGGATGCACTGATGAATTCCACGGCAATGGCTATTTCACAACCACTGTCGTCGTGGGATTCGGTGTCAGTGTTAGGCCTATCCGAAGTCAGGGTGTTGGTCGGCGGTAACATCGGCATTCGCTCTCACTTTGGGAAGCGTCCGACGCCCTTTCCCTCTATACTTGGGGTGAGTTCTGAACTTTCGATTATCTAGACTGCGCTTCTTGGGGCTTGCCATGACGCAAAACTGCAGAGAAACGCCGAACAACTCGATCGCGACGTGTGAGGCATCGCTCTTCTGCCCGAAAGATAGGAGGAGGAGGAGGAGGAGCGCACCGCCGACCAATGGCGGCCTCGCGCTGCTTGCTGCGATATTCAAAACGCAGGGCGTATGCGTTGTTTTTCTAGTTTTTTTTTATTTATTCTTTGTGAAGATACGAGACTAGCTACTAGTTGATCGTGAAGGGGAAGGCCTTCGCAGAATGCGTGCAGAATGATTGAAAATGGTGGCCAACGCGTCGTTTTCGGGACAGGACAACGTGAACTACGCCATTTTTGGCGACATTCGCGCATTTCTAACGTCAGTGCTCCCCACTAGAAAGCATTTTTAGATCATTTCTTGAGCGAACGTCAGCTTGATATTTTCCGAAGTAAAAGATTATAGTCCAAGGATGACAATACAACCGAAAAAAAAAAGCAAAAATTTTGGGAAAATTGCGACTTTTTGACCCGCGTCTCCCCTTAATTGGTAGAGTGGCCGCACTCGAAAGGTGTTGTCTCAGGTTTGATCATCGGACTAGGACGACCTTTCCCTAGAAACTTTCCTTTCTGACAAATACATGGGGAATTTCTTGTGCTTTTATGCTACAAACAAGTGGTTTTTTATATTTCCTTAATTATTGAGTGTTGCGGGTGCAGTTCATTTTGTCTTGAAGTTACGACATCTCAAATAAAGAAGCTAAACGTAACGCATTCTTGGGCTTACCGTATAAACGCGTGTAAAGGCCGCACTTTTTTTTCAGGAAATGTGGGCCAATTTTCAGGGTGCGGCCCGTACACGGGACTTTTTTTTAAAGTGAACTAAAAACAACGTACCAGTTAGCGAATGAAGAGCGTTTATTGCAGTATGCCGCGTGTGTGCTTAATCGTTGTCACTCGACGAGTCCTCTAACTCGGAGTCCGAGATGCTGTGTTGCGGAGCACCATCATTCCAAAAACAGTCATCTTCTGTGCCATCCAGGCTGTTGGATATCCCAGTGACCTTAAAGCTTCGGGACACAATGTCCGTCGACACCGAGCTCCACGCCGACAACACCCAACCGAGAACAGTAAGAAGTGGTGCCCTCTTCAGTCATCCGGTCGGCGTCTGCTCATGGTTGCCGGTTGCCATCCATTCCGTGTAGAGTCTTCGGAATTCAACTTTGAACGGTCGATTCACGCTCACATCCAATGGTTGCAACATTCCTGTGAGGCCGCCTGGAATCACGGCCATGTCTGTGCCGACACGGCGCAGCTGCTCCTTCACCTTATCGGTAATGTGGCCGCAGAAACTGCCCAACACTAAAAGTGAATGTTTGGCCAACAAAGCTCTCGGTCTGTTCTGTCAAACACTTTTTACCCAGTCAAGCACTAAATCATCGTTCATCCATCCCTTCTCGTGGGCTCTAACCATGATGCCTTTGGGGAAAACTTCGTTGGGAATTCTTTTCCTTTTCAAAACAACGTACGGGGGTAGCTTCCGCCCGTTCGCAGTCACACAAAGCATCACGGTGCAGCGTTGGCACTCAGCACCAGTGGTCCGCACGGCGACACTCTTCTTGCCTTTTACTTCGACTGTGTAGTTCTCGGGAGAGTCAAACCACACAGGAGTTTGATCAGCGTTCGCAATTTGGGACAACAGATATTTGTGCTGATGGCGCAGGCTGATGACATGCTTGTGAAAACTAAGCACCTTAACGGTATAGTCTTCTGGCAGCCGCTGGCACAGCGTGTTCCTTCGCCGAAAGGAGAGTCCCTTCCTTTTTCAGAAACCTTCGCACCCAGCCAGCACTAGCCTCGAAATCCTCGGCCGGTATATTTTTCGCACGTGCCAAGGCTAGTGTCTTCATGCGCAGCATGTCCTTAGTGAGCGCAAAACCATCGTTCCGCACCTCAGTCACGTAGCGGAGCAACTCCTCTTCCTAATCAGGATACTTGCACTGTTTTCCTCGGAAAGCACGCTTTTTGATGTTGGTGTTCTGCAAGGCTTTCTTCTGAGCGCACCAACGTCGAACACACTTCTCGTCAACGTCGAATTTTCTGCCGGCGGCCCGTTTCCCGTGCTCGAGAGCAAACTCGATCACCTTGAACTTATAGCCAGCTGTATAGCCATTCAGCTGCTTGCCCATCGTGCCAAAACGTAAACGTCCCACAGAAAACTAGCTAGAGTCCCAGATTCATTCAACGGTGCGCAAATCTCCAGCACATGGCAGGGTGAACAGCACAATAACCGAACAATGCACAAATACCAAAGTTGGTGATGCTAATGCCGATATGGATAGCACGTTTGTATAGAAGTGTCAGAAGTTAAAGATAAAATCCCGCTTTAACCTTTAGTTGGCGGGAACACTACTGAAAAAACTTAAAAATTTTAGCCAACTTCATGAACATATTAGCATGAAGAAAACCAACAAATTATTCTAATGACGTAATATATGCTGATGATAAGTACATTCACTAACGCCATCTACTGACAACGCCTAGTAGCTCACACACGCGCGCGCATTTTGAATACGTATGGGTCAAGGAAAGTGCGGATGCGGCCCTTACACGCAACTTTTTTTTAACATGTGCTTCTTAAAAACGGGATGCGGCCCTTACACGGGTGCGGCCCTTGCACGCGTGTATACGGTAGTTATTTGTCGGCTTTATGGATTATCATTTTATGAAGACCGATTGTCGCGTAATCGAATATGACCCTTTCAACCAGGACACACGGCGTTACTGTTTGCAGGCCCTGAATGAACACTGTGCGCGACAGTTTGAAGAAGGCAGCCTACGGGACGCTCTGGGTGCCCTGAGGCTGATGACGGACACTGTGCTGCCGAACCTGTCACCCCTGCTGAGCCCCCTGGCAAACGCACTTGACACGCGGGCCGTCGAGGAAGTGCGCAGCCGCTGGTGTGCCATGCTGGGGCTCGCCATGCCAGGTGGGTGGGCAAGACAACGTCATTTAGCAGAGCTCTCTTGGCCTACATTCCCTGAATTGGTGTATCTACTGCTGCTGCTGCCGCTTTCTTCTGTTGGGTTGGTAGTATCATAGGGTAGTACTGTTTGATTTGATTTATTATTTTACACACATGTACAACATATGCGTAGATGGAGGTGGGTGTGGAAAAAAAATGCCAGGCCTGCGTGGTAGGCACAGCATAGTCGCAGCGAAAGCTAGAAGAGCGGCCTTTCGGAGCCTTTTCAAAACACTAATTTGGCAACTACTGCAAGCACACTTGCTTGGTACTCACTTAGGCATTAACAATATCGTATTTACTCGCATGATCCTCGCACTTTTTTTTGCCAGAAAATCGATGCAAAGTTGGGGGGTGCGAAAATTACGCGGGGAGAACTTTCCACGAAAACGCAGAGAGCGAGAAAAAAAAAACGAAGTCGCCAAAAATTGCGATTCTCACACCAGCAATTTACAGTAAGCTTTAAGAAGTACTAATGAGAACTTGCCTTAACAATAAAAGCAGAGGTTCAACACAAGGCAAGATTTATTTGAGACACAAAAAAAGTGGAAGCAAATAGTCGAGAATTAGGATACCATACGCGAAGCTTGTGGGTGTTGCGGGCATAGCAGTAGAGGTCGGAGCTCAACAGGAGCCCTCAAAAGGTAAGCGTAGGACGTCGGTATTGGGCTGATGGCTATTTAACAGAATCGTCCGCAGTTTCGTTCTGAAGAAATAAAGTTTACCATCAATACCAGTTTTAGGCACACGGCAGGCCCAACGCATTTCGATGGATTTCAGATTCCGTCACCAGTAGCGAACACAAAACTCGTAGGCTCCGAAGGGCCTACCGGCAGCCCTGTTGCCGTTGTTTAGTGCATGATCTATCACTTGCAACTTGAAGCAGCCGTGTGGCTTCAGTATCGCCCCATAACGTGCCAAGATTACCGACACAACATACAAAACACGCCGCAACTGGCCACTTCGGCTTGGCTTGGATTGGATTGAATCTCCATACAATAGTACGTTTGATGCCTAAGAGATGGTGCAACATGGTGCGCGCTATCATCATGAATGGCTGGAAAGAGCAGACGACATTATTGCGGCAGTTTTCGAGGGTGTGATAATTACTCGAGGAAAAAAAAAATCGTATTTTTTCTTGGGCGATGTGGGGGGTGCGAGAATTATGCGAGTGCGAGGATTACGCGAGTAAAATACGGTAAACTTTTGGGTTGTAGGTCGGCATTCGTTATGCTATTTTTCGTCATTCTTCTGAGAAGCGTGGTGTCTGCTAAACACTTGCTAGGAATTTTGTGCCAATTGTCCATGCAGTGGCTGATGACGATGAGAAATTATGGTTGAAGTGGGTATGCACCACAGTTAAGGGGGAAACAAGAACAAGCTTTTTAAATGGGTTGGAGCATTGGACAGCCCACTCGTTACGCTAATCGCATTGTGTGACGACTGGTAAAACTTTTTGTAAGTCGTATTAACGTGATTGCTTTCCCGACATCAAGCCTGCCTAAGGCAAGTTTGACAACAACTCGCAAGCGCCGGAGTAGCTCAGTGGTAGAATACTGGGCTGGCACCCAGCGGACCCGGGTTCGAGCCCTGCTTTGCCGTTGGTGCTAGGTCATGCCTGCCTAACGCAAGTTTGACAAGTTACAAGCACCGGCGTAGCTCAGTGGTGGAATATTGGGCTGGCACCCAGCCAACCCGGGTTCAAGCGCCACTGTGTCATTAGTGCAAGGTTTTTTTTTTCTAATTTCGTGCAATGTGGTTACGGACACTTGCGGCGGTGGACAACATGCAACTGCGCGTGCCTGGAGTTGTGTTCTCATAACAGCTTTTGCTGTAAAACTGCACAAATGCGGCTTGAGGGACATAATAGCACATAATAATAATACACTAATAATACACAATAATACTACATAATAATAATACCCTAATACAGTGACTATAAGGTATGGCAGTTATACAATCAACAGAGAAAAAAAGAAGCAACAAAATTAAACATTTGCAAAATGGATTGGATCACTCAGGCAAAAGCGGGAACAAAATAGATATTTCTCGAAGGCTGAGTGTTGTGTTCGTTGTTGTCAAAATTTAGAAACAGGAATGATTTCTTTCTGAGAAAGTATTAAGGTTTTTGCTGTTTTTAGCATTCACTCGTATGGCCTAGCTACCACCATATGAATATTGCACGCTATTTCTCACGTCAAGCCAATCAAAAGCGAACGGTGTTTGTTGTCACGTCACATGACACGACTTCACTTCCCAAAAATCGCCGATGTGTGTCGCCGTAGTACGAAATCAAGGTAGTTTGTCTCATGAAATAAAATTATAACAGCGTCGATTTCAGCGTTGCCATGTGCACAACGATATGGGCGTTCCACAGCACCAGCACAACTGATAAAAATATGTGCTCAAATAGTGTTGCAGGGCCCCTTTAAGGCAATGGATAATGAAGAAGAAAACGGGGGACACGCTGTTTGTCCGCGTTAGTTGCACTATTAGCCGCGACGAATTCGTACCAACTTTGCCAGTGTTGTTCCATCCTGCCCCGTGGGACTTGAGGCTGTTCAAAAATGACATGTGTCGGTTTCGTTCTCGCAGCCGAGAAGCAGGAGCAGCTGGAGGACATGTTGAGCAAGCTGTTGGATCCCAGCGTGGACACCCCGCCTCCGTCTCCGCTGAGCATCCCCCGAGTGACGAACCTGTCGGCTGCCTACGAACAGGCCATGCGGCGACTCACCTCCTCCAAAAACTTTGAGACAGCACTCCTCGAGGAGGGCGTTCCTTCCCTCTCCTAGCCCTCCTTCATTCACCCTCTTTCCCTAATACTGCTTAGTCATGGCTGGGTTGCTGCTGCTCGCCAAGAAGGGAGGCTTTCAAAAAAAAAAAGAAAAAAAGAACACATTTTCTTTCGCCTCATGTCAAGTCGCTACGGTTTGCTCACTAATTTAGTAGTACCTCAATATTAATCGGTCGTCTTGAGAATCTTAGTCTAATATAAATTGACATTCGAGCATGCGAGATATTTTTATTTATTCATTTTGTGTACTTCGATTGTATAAAGTTTATGGTTTGACTCCAAGGCAGGAAGCGAGAAATTGTACATTAGGGTGTGGCAATGCTTATTAAGTTAACTTAAAATCATAGAAAAGCAAAGAACAAAATGAAAAAATTATTTGAAATAACAGACTGAAGTCTTTTGATATTGCAGTTCAGTGTGTACCTTGTGTCATTCATAATTTAATATATATGCTGTGACAAAGTTCAGAATCGTACCCTCTATTATTCAGAGATATCTAATTCGTTTTCCTAGCGTCTTCCGTGCTTGCATGGGTAGATAGTGCAAAGCATCTTGAATTTTCTCACTTTTCTTTTTGCTCTTTGGTGGAAGACATGCATCTTTGTCTATTGTGCAAATGGGAACTAACCACATGTGATTATTCCCTTGCTTTCTTCTTTTTGGTCCCCTACTTTGCTCCGATCAACGAGTTTGGTGTGGCCCAAAACTTGTTTCACGAGAATCTCGATGCGCAGTCACGAAGCCGTGATGTCGTGTATATACATGAACAGATTGCGGGACTAGTTTTGTATCGCGTGCCTATACCTAACCTGGTGGTTTATAGTACAATTCGCTACACCAGTCAGTGTCATCTACGACCCTGCTCAATTCGATGCCCCTAGTGAAATGAGCCTTGTTTGCACCGTAATCCTTTGAACTTAATTGATGTCTTCACGGGCACGCTTGATCGGTTTGCGCCACTGGGGTCACGTGGCGTGCTTCGCCGAGTTCGAATGAAGGTGATTGAGGTGGGAACAGACCCGGTGACTTTGTCGTCTGCTTTAGCGGAGTGTCATCTTTAATGAATCGTGTCTGCACTGAATGCCTCACAAACGATTCTGGTGAATAAGCTAGCGCTGTATACTCTGTATCCTGTTGTCCCTTACTTGGATGACATGCTTTGCGGCAGCCGCACTCTTTTTATAGTGTAGTTTTGTCGGGGTCGGTAGTCAAGCTTTTGGTCATCGTCTGTTTGCCGATTGCGTCCGCGATTCGCCGAAAGAGCAGGGCACAAACAATGCAAATGAGCTTTGCAATGCTCATGCAAGTGTCTCGTGTGTGTTTGTGTGTCCAAGTCGCAGTTTATAGAAGTTGCATGTGTGTAGCGAGAGGATGTTTGCCACAAGATGGGTGTGGGCAAAAAAAGAAAAGGTGCAGGACTTGTGGTGCGCTACTCAAAACTCGGTTATTTCGAGAACATGCTTTTATGCTCAGCACTTGCATGATGTGATGTGCGTACCTAGTCTCGGGGTAGTCAATTTTCTTGTCAGGCAATGCATGGTAAGGCACGCTTACAGAGTTTTCAGAAGTTGCTAAGAGTCTCATGTTAGGCAAGCTGGGTAAAACAAACTAAATTATTGTAGCATTTTAAAGATTTCGAGATAGCGGATTTTAGAGTGATTATGGAAATCCTTTTTAAGCATGACATAAGTAGTTTCTAAAAAGGCTCTAATGCCTGCCAAACTATCTGTCAATGAGTCAAACTTTTAGGTCTTGGGCTTTATTTTTCCAGTGACCTTATGTACCGGTATGTACTGAGAGCTGATAAATGGCTCATACTTCATTGCTGTTACACTGTCAAAGTTGGTCAAAAGCAGCATTGCTAACTTATCCTTTCACGAGAACTTTAAATAATTCATGTTGACGTACACGTGGCAATTATTGCTTTTAAGCAGATAAAGTGCCCCAATATAACCATGTTTTTCTTATGTTGTGTCCAAAGCTGCGAGAATGCTCAAATTGCTAGGGGACAATCTAGGATCAAATCGGAATGATAAATACTGACAGATAGTCATTTTGCCCTGCATTTGACAACTGTTTCATAATGTCAGATGAATCAAGCAATGTTCCAGTGTAAAAGTGGCGCTTTCGATGCCTGTGATATTTCTAAAGCATTGCCAAGATCACAGAACCATCGACACTGATCCTCCCCCACCCCCTCATGGAGTACGGTATTAGGCATAATGGTGCATTCAGTGCAAGCATGCTGTGGTTCATAGAGTCCTGTTTTTGTGCAGGAAGTCGTTCAAATTGGCCAAATAGGCAGCTACCTCAGTGAATGCCTGTAAGTGGTGCTTTGTGTCCTGTGCCCGTCTTTCTTTGCCTGCGTCATCTAGCGCTCAGAATCTCGTGTATGCGTCGTTGCTTCTGTTATGCTAACTCCTGATTGGTTGAATTTGAAAATTGAGGTGGCTTTGATTGTCTTCACGATGATGCAGCACTATCGTAGTAATGGGTCTGTTCCGAGTAATCTCTAGCACACAGGGTTTTGTGGTGTTGGTGACCTGCACGATGGTACCGTGGTTGTACCATGTGGTGCACTGGTTGTTGGTGCTGCTATTTTGGGTGTGAGCACCCGTACTGTTACACATGCTGTGAGCCATGTCACTGAGGCACGGCTATGTCATGTCGCAGCTACGTAAAAGGTGTCGAAAGTATTTTTATAATTTCTTCGTGCACGTCGACACAAAATGTGAGAGGTTTATTTTGGACGTGTGCACACTTGCAGCTGAAAGTCACTGGTCCTGCTAATGAAAAGACTACACATTCCGATGAGAGTTAGTGTTCACGACTGACAAGGCTGCTATTGACAATGGTCGCCAAGGAAACCATTGAAACGGGCTGTGCCTCGTGCATCGGCTTTCTGCGATTCGTTGCCTCTTGATCTTTCATGCAACTGGGTGTGGGGAGTTTGTTACCGCATCTGAACGATTTATCCCAGTGAACGGTCCAAAAGCCATGCTTGTTGCTTGCCTTGGCTCACTTGGACGAATCGGCTTGCAGTGTGCGACAATCTTCCGTTCAGCACTTTGTCGATGAGGCGTGCAGCTGTGGAATGTGCTTCGAAGCCATCTCATGACCTTGCCTAACTTCACCTTGTGTCTGAGATTTCCAGTCCCCGAACAAAAGACCCCCTTGTTTATTTCAACACCTCTTCGTGCATTTGTGTTTGTCATGTTGTAGTCTGGAAGTACTCGTTATGTTTTGTTTTCTAACAAGATTTGAATGTGCTTTCTATTTAACCACTCATGCTCAAGCGGCACGCTCCTCCTCCACCCTTTATCCTCACCTGTCACAAATTCTTCTAGTTGTAGGATGAAAATATATTCTAGTGACAATACGAAAAGTGATGTTTCGAAAATTTTTGTTTTAATTGTTGTGAGTCTCTCTCGCTCTGTTTGCGGGCATTGTTGCAATTATTTCTGAAAGTCTTTTGTTCTTTTTTTTTCTGATGTGGGAATTGCACATAGATTGCATTTCACTGTTAACTCTCGACGGTGCCTATACCAAAATATTTGCTTCCTTAGCGACTTGTAAATTTCTGTACAAATGTAAATAAATACCGTTGTTTGCGTTGCAGTGGCGCTTGCTCTTTGTCTCAAATAGATGACACACTTGCACCCAAGTCACAGTCTATTATCTGGCAGAGTGGTTGATTCAGAAGTGTGTATTCCATTAATGTATGTGCAGTGAAAAAGTTACAATGTGGAGAAGACACTAGTAAGTGCAGCTTGGCCTGCATGTTGCGTTTAGTATCTCAAGCTATATTCTATCAAGTGTTAGGTACTCATCACCTTTTCTTAAACCCAAGGGTTGGCGATTGTATATCTCCTGGTGCTGCTGAGCTGTGTGGAGAATTTGGCTTATTAGTGCCACTTTGCTGCTATAGCTAGCCAATTAAATTAACGAATTTCAATCTCCGGTTTTACACAGCACGAACCTTTACCACATCGTTTGATATTATGTTTTTGCAATGATGAAACTGGGAAATGATGTAGACTCCAACCAAAAGTTTTAAAGAAACCCGACGTTTCGAAAGCGACTTGGTTCCTTCTTGAGGGGCGACTGCAGAGCTACGTAGCAGTAGCGTCTTCAACGCACTCGCGGGGCGGATAATAATGAAACTGAAGCAGTAGTGCTTGTGTACAATCAAGCTTTGATGTAATGAATTATTGCACATATCAAATGCAGCTCATAGATGTGATAGAAAGTAAACTTATCATGTGCAATAGATGCAGTGATACATTTCATGTGCAGTGCAATTGAACCATTGTAATTTGTGCCTGTTCAACAACCGGAGACGACGCGTATCGCAAAACTATCTGATGGCATATGTTTTCTCACTGGCACGTATTGCGCACATTAATTTTGCAGCTTTGGATACCTGGTACAAGCTGAAGAGCAATCGCAGCAATTTGCGGGCCTAATTTACGAAGCCGCATAGTTTCAGTTTCCAGCTTCTAGCTGGAAACTGAAATTAGCTCGGATGAATTCAGAACAGGGCCGGCCCAGCTAAGCACCGCAAAGGCGCTGATTTAGAATGCACTCTCAAAAAAACTTGAATCGTGTATTTTTTCGTTTTGCCATATGCCAGTGCTCATCATTGATAGGCCTTTGCGTGCGTATTCAAACATACACCCGAAAGCATCACCGCGTAATCTGTTATTATCATCATAAGTCTGACTACGCCAAAAGCACGGAGAAAGGACCTTAAATTTCCTTCCTCTGTGGCCCAAAGTACAGTGTACTTATAGTACACTCTACCCAAAGGCCTCCCCCCATGATTTGCCAATCAACCCGGTCTTATGCTTTCCGTTGCTACGTTATACCTGCGAACTTGTTAATCTTATCGGCCCACCTTACTTTTTGCCTCCCCTTCGTGCGCTTTCCTTCTCTGGGAATTCAGTCAGTTACCCTTAATGACCAGCTTTTATCCTGCCTACGAGCTACGTGCCCAGCCCATGCCTATTTCATCTTCTTGATTTCAACTATTTCCTTAACCCTCCGTTTGTTCCCTGACCCACTCTGCTCTCTTCCTGTCTCTTAAGGTTGCACCTATCATTTTTCTTTCCATGGCTCACTGCATCGTCTCTTTGTAAGCCTCCACGTTTCTGCTCCGTAGGTGTGAGTACCGGCAATATACCTTCCTCTTCTGGTTTGTTGGTTGGTTAGACCCAAGAGTAATGGCTCAACCAATCACGGAGGATCGGCCATGAATCGTGTGGCAGTGGGATTTTGGGGGGAAAAAAAAGGGGGGGGGGGGATGTGGCAAATGCAACGGGCAAGGTTCTATTTGGCGTTGCATAAGTGGTTGCCAGACTGGAAGGGTGGTTGTTGCCAGACTGCCGCTAAATTTGGCAGAAAATTTTTCTTCTGTAGTTGTGGCTTTTTCGTAAGAATTTGGTGCTATCCGCGGTGCACTTCTTGGCTGAAAATTTTTCTCCTGTAGTTGTGGCTTCTCCGTAAGAGTTTGGTGCTATCCGCGGTGAATTTTGCGAGTGCATGAGCGACGCTGGCCGTTTTAATTAACGGAATGGACCGAGCCTAGCAGAAGTCGAACGCGGCGCTGCCGAGCAATTAAGAGGCCGTTTCAATTCCGTTTTAATTAACGGAATGGACCGAGCCTAGCAGAAGTCGAGCGCGGCGCTGCCGTGCAAATAAGAGGCCGTTTCAATTCCGTTTTAATTAACGGAATATACCGCGCCTAGCAGAAGTCGAGCAGCGTGCAATTAAGAGGCCGTTTCAATTCCGTTTTAATTAACGGAATGAACCGAGCCTAGCAGAAGTCGAGCAGCGTGCAATTAAGAGGCCGTTTCAATTCCGCTTTAATTAACGGAATATACCGCGCCTAGCAGAAGTCGAGCGCGGGTGCAATTAAGAGGCCGTTTTAATTAACGGAATGGACCGAGCCTAGCAGAAGTCGAGCGCGGCGCTGCCGTGCAATTAAGAGGCCGTTTTAATTAACGGAATGAACCTCCCATTACAGAAGTCGAGGCGCGTTCTCTTGCTGTGTGCGCAGCTGTGCGATTAAGATATCGCGTCTCAGTATTAGGGATTACGGGGAAAACTGATTAGAGTCGCAGGAGGGGATGCGCTGCCCCCTTCCCCCTTACTTTTTTTTTTTCTCTCTCAGCTGATCGTGTCGCGTCGACCGCGCGCTACGATGGGGGACGCTACGCTTCCCCTACCTGTGTCAGCACAAGACACAATCGTTACGGAGAAGCCACAACTACAGGAGAAAAGTTTTCAGCCAAGAAGTGCACCGCGGATAGCACCAAATTCTTACGGAGAAGCCACAACTACAGAAAAAAAATTTTCTGCCAAATTTAGCGACAGTCTGGCAACAACCACCCCAAAGTCTGGCAACAAATTTATGCAACGCCAAATAGAACCTTGCCATGCAACGTTCCTCGCCGTGTTCATGGCTGTGGCTTGCCTCGTCGTTCCAGAGGCCCTGTGCTGGTGCGCGAACGATTAAACTGTCAAGGGCGTGTTGACAGTCCACTGTGCGCTGTTTGCGGCTCCTGCGAAACACTTGAACATCTCATAGTGCACTGTCCTGCATTTGCTGCGCAGCGGGCTTTGCTGATTAAGGAATGTGAATTCCTGGGTCTTAAGTGTACGATCCTAGACGATTATCTCTTTTCCCGACGCGACCAGACCCTTCGAGCTCTAATTACCTCGTTTAGTGCACCAACAATGAATAAAGCATCTATAAGCTCTGTCAAAGCTGATGTTATGTGCATAGCCTCCGAATGTCTACACCAGTACGCACGCATTCAGGAGTCCACACTTGACTTGCGCCAGACCAGTTTCGGTTACGCTTATCAACGCAGAACATATTCAAGCAAAACAAAATAAAGAGCATACAGACGCAAAATTTTGAACACTTTGTTTGTTTATTGCACTTGAACTGCAGACGAGAAATGAATGAATAAACGTAATTAGTGGTTGTGACGCATCGACGAGAATTTGGCGTTTTCTCCGCAACGAGTCGTCGTCGTCGCGCCCGTCGTCTGCGCTGCCGTGAGGGTTGTCTTCACGAGCGATAGTTTATAGTCTTTTTCTTTACGTGCTTATGCAGTGGTAGCCCATCCCCAGCACGTACCATTCCTCTACACGTAGACAGTTTGCTCAGTTCTAGCCCATTCTTACCCCCACTCGCTGCGAAGCATCCTGCCACCATTCGCGAACAAGCCGCTGCGCATCGGTCAGGTGTGATCGTCGAAGGGTGCGCGCGCGTGTGTGGTTATTGTGGTGCAACGCGCCAGGGCGCGCCTATCAAAGAGGTGTGGCCTCCTAGTGATCTCCGAAAGACCTCGGCTTGTGAATAATTCGTGAGTCGGTTTTAATACAGAGTCGAGTCAGTCATGGAGTCGTCTCAAGAGGTGAGCAGCGCCGAGCCGTTGCTTCCGGGCCAGGAATCTCGGCAGCGTCCTCCGACGCCTCCTCCTTCGGCGGTGCCTCACGAAGAAGAGAGACCCTCTTCGAAGCCCCCGGCGCCGGTGAAACAGGCTCGCGAGATATTGCGCACCACGTTGGGCTCGCTGGTCTACAAATTCGCCAAGGGAATCCTGATCGCGGGGAGCCTATACCTTATGGGTTGGTTGAACCTCAGCCCCGCGTGGCTGCTCATAGGGGTCGGCTCTTACGTCGCGCAAAAGAACTACATCGAGCAGAAGCGCATTCGAAGCGGCATTACTAGTGCCGACCACGAGAAGACCAGCGTGCTGGCCACGATCGAAGACCTGCCCGCATGGGTAAGTTCGTTAAAGCAGGTCTTCTATCGCGGTGTGAGTCAGCCCGCATGCGTGCCCGTGCGATGTCCGTAAATCATTAGCTGCCAAATGCTGCGATGTGCCCGTATGTGCGTGCTTGCGCGTATCCGCGTGTGTGCGCGCCCTTTGCGCGGTGCCCGCGTCATCGTGTGACAAGATTGACTTGTCCGCACAACAGCTGGACATGTTTCGCGTGAGGACCTTCATAATTGCTTCGTTACAGAGATTACTTCGTTGTAAAGGTAGCGCCGGCTTTATAGCCGGGAAATAACGAATCCTCCGTTGTAGAGGTCTTTGTGGTAGCGTGTTAGTTTATATATACTCGCTGACAATGCTACCGGACGCATTGTTTGCTAAACTGCGCGGTCGCCGGCTTTAAAGCTGAGTTGCACACACGCGTACGTGCGCAGGCATTATCGCCCGGTTGTGTGGAAGTGGACTCGGGTAGATAGTAAGAGGACTGTGACCAAGACAGTTGCACGTTCGTTGTACTAAGTAGCGAGAAGATTGCACTGCTTCTGCAGGAGCCCAGACCAAAGAGCAAAATCACCAAATAAGTATGAACGAATGTTTTGCATAAGTACATGAGTACGAATGCATTGTATAATGCAGCCACAGAAGTGTGTTGTATACAGACAGTGGTAAATGATAGGGAAGAAGTGGAAACCAAAGGGGTCGTTTTCCTTGCTTAGACACAATATTAACGATAACTAGCAGACCATGATGCCAAGAAAAGCAGCATGGTAGGTCTCTTAGCTATCATTAATGAAGCGTGTCACGAATAGTATGTGTGGGGTCTGCATTCAAAATAATTGTTCCGTCACTTTGTCTTGCATTGTTCGAAAGTTTGCTCTTGAAAGTGAGACATGTTTTTAATTCAACTCTAAGAAGAATCATGGGCCATGCGTGCCAGCAGCTGCAATATTGCTGCTTTTTTGAAGCATTGGAAATGCTTTTGCGCCCGTCTCTCTTGCCTTTTAGAGGCAACAAAAGCAAGCGCCATGCATACATAATTAAATGGTTGCTGAGACCTTTATGCCAGCAGGTCAACAGCAGCTGTGTCCCATGATAGTAGTAACATTTTAGCACACTTTCGATAAGCTGGAGATCACAAGATCTGGCTAATTGCATCGTTGCTTAAGTCTGGCTTTTGTATAGGTGGGGATGAGAACTTGGCACTATGTTTAAAAAAATATGATTTTTAAAAATCTTGAAGTCCTGTTTGGTGCTCTCCGAGTCGTGTTCGACTTGTTTCTCGTCACGTTCAATTTGTATTTGATTGGCACCCAAAATACTAATACCTGCGTGCCGTTAATATATATGCTTCATTTCGAATACCATTGTTGGGCTTTAGGTTAAAACGCCAAAACAATATTAGAAAAAGCTTGCAGACACTGAAGATATTTCAGGTGCACAGTGATGTTTGTTATTTTAACTAAGCAAATCTATTGTGACTGTAATGTAAACACTAAGCGAGTATGTAGATCAATGCTTTTGAATGAGCGTCAACAAGAATTTTAGAGGCTAAACTGAATGTAGAATAGGTTCTGCATGCTTGCCAGGAACAGTTATTCAAGCTTTAATTGACAGTAAGCAATTAAATGTCAGATAATTTCAAGCAGAGAGCTTTATTTCAGGTCAACAAGAATTTTAGAAGCTAAACTGAATGTAGAATAGGTTCTGCATGCTTGCCAGGAACAGTTTTTCAAGCTTTAATTGACAGTAAGCAATTAAATGTCAGATAATTTCAAGCAGAGAGATTTATTTCACTTCCATCTCTGTACTACTGCTTTGGTAGCCTTCATGAAAGTGTCATTCTAAATAGCAGAATTGTGCAACATTTAAGACGCTATGGGTGATGACTTTATTTCGAACCTCCGCGCGGGCATTTTTAGAAATGCCAGTGATCGACACGGAGTGCACATACTCATAGGTCATACGATGCTCAAACGGGCATGTCATACTGAGCCGACAACGGTGGAGTTCATTGCCACCAATTCTTTGATAGGTCATGTGTCCTCATTTGCCTGAAGTCTAAAAAAACCTGTTTTGTTTTGTGATGACATAAAAAAATTTGCTTTAGCGAGCACCAACTAGGTCAACAAATAGTTCTTGTAAACATTTGCCTCTAAGCACATGCGCCTGCGCATCTCTACTGCTGCAATTGTGGCGATGCCTTGATTTTAGTGCAGGTGTTATATTGTTACTGTGCTCGCCAACTAGCTTTGTGCCGCTCCCAATGTGTAGAATTGATTGAAATGTGGTGTTTAACGTCCGAAAGTACCATCCAAAGTTATCACCCAACATTTAGCGCCGGCACTCCTGTAAGAAAAACAAATCAGTGCTAGCAAGCATGGAACAAACAGGTAACTCTAATAACCGATTCAATTCTAAGTAAGATCTAATTTGTGTTCACGTAAATTTCCAGCTGAAGTATCTGCACCATCAAAAATGTCGGGTCGTTTCTACATTTTTGAAAAGTTAATAACTGTGTTGTAGGAGTTGGGGAAAGATGGAAGCCTGCGATGTGAAATTCAAAAACGTGTGCAGCAGCAGACCTTTTGGCAAGTGGACTTGTCTTCTTCAAGGCTGCAACTTGAAGCCTCGAAGAAGTCGAGGCCGCTTGTCAAAACACTGGTTCCAACGCATGCCCCATGCTCATGAATTTTTCATAACTGTATTGTACCGAGGCTAAACAATTTTGGTCACTCCCACAAAAGTGTGTGGTGTCTGTGTTGCTTTCTTTTTTCAGTATCTTTTGCAGTAAGTTTTCTGAGAAAGATTACAGAAGTAACTGAACTGGTAGTTGTTTTGTTGTGCAGGTGTTCTTCCCTGATACAGAAAGAGCCGAGTGGGTCAACAAGGTAAGCTGTTGCACTTTCAGTTCAAGCTTGTGTTTCTTCAGATTACACTGGTTGTGGTAAATATTTAAGGACATAATGAAAACTGTGTTTTAAGCCTGGTGTTTTCATTTGGATTATTCAAGAGTTTATTCACTGAAATAATCCTCAGCATCAAAATGTCACTTTAGCTGGCTTTGGTTACGTGTCATATGCTGCTTGTCAATGTTAACCACGGCTTGCAAACCGACAAGCTTTGGTGAGTTTTTAGCACTGTGCTACAACTTGCCCTCATGATGATGTACTCATATATACTAGCACAGCGGGTTTAAGTATTAAGTATTGGGGGCTTTGATGTCACATTAAGAATAATCTGCTGTTCATTGAATTTCAAGGCCAGTCACTCTTTGAGCATCACCTAGTTAATGTTGATTCATCTTGAAACTTGGCCGAACGGGAATCAGAGCAAGATACACAATGATGAGCACTTCTAAAAAGGGATTTTATTTTTTTTTAGAAAAAAAAATACTTTAACCTTTATAGAATTGTGGAAAGCATCTCAAAGATTCATATTGGGCCCACACAGCAAACAAGTGACTTGTCAGGAATTTATGGATATGGAGACAGTAATAACATCTCATTATTTAGTAGTGAATGTATGTAGTGACATCTTTTATCATAGCGATATGACATAACGATGGGCAACATGCACAGTCCTCTTTGAGCTACAATACGCAAAACATTTGCTCGGTCTGTTCAAACAACTGAGAGCACAAGGGCGAGGAAGACGAACGATGTCGAACCACGCTTCTGTCGTGTGGTACTACCTCGTAATCCTTGTTTTGGCTTCTTTGAACAAACATGAATTACCGACTAGCTCATCTGTCCATCATTTTACACTTCAAAGATGTCCCACGATGTCTGATTGCAGCGTTTGCATAAAATTAATGCGTTGTAAAAGCAGGGTGTACATTCCCGAGTGTTTTAGTGCAAAGCCAAATGTGTGTGAGGGCACACATGTCTGTAAAATCCGGACAGTTCAGGTGCTGCTGTGTGCACCTGAGATGGGTTCCTGGGATGTTTTGCACCGGTATGTGTGTTGTAATAGTACGTTGTTTGCAAATAAATGGCACCACTTGTTAGACGCTTTTGTCCTTGCGTATCTTTCTCTGATGTTGTTTGTCTCATGCTACGCTTTAGCATGAAAACTCTTTGATTGATGGATATGTGGGGTTAGCGTCCCAAAACCACCATATGATTATGAAAGACTTCATTATTATGAAAGACAAACCTGACGTTCTTTAATGTGCACCCAAATCTGAGCACACGGGCCTACAACGTTTTCGCCTCCATGGAATGAAAACTCTTTGAGCACAGTGACTTTAGGCAAAAGATAAGTTTGCTGTTTAGAATGGATGCTAATGCAGTTGTGTTTGAACGGTCTCAGTGTTGGCAAATCAGAGCTGCTCAACGATTTCCATCATTGTATATTTTTTTTTTATTTTTAATGTTCTTCACTCTGAGAAACTCACTGTCAGAATTGTATGAGGTCAACGGAAGTGCTTCTCTTTTTTTCATCATGAACAAGTGCTTGTCATGAGTTCTTGTCTCTTACCGAAAATTAAAATGCTCATCCTGTCTTCATAGTAGATATTTGTGTTAATTTGCACTTCTCACCAAATACAAAATAAGCGATTTTGTTGTTTCAGAGATAGTGGTAGTCTGAAAGCTGATTGCTTTAGTATATATAACGTGACTTGCACAGCATATGAGTTATAAACATCTTGAGTTTGACTGCAAACATCATGTGTGGCCACCGAGGTCGAAGTTTCTGGTAGAGTAAATGTTGAGGAGACTCTGTCATTTCAAGTTTGATGTTTGAGTGGATGTCTGTCATGAGAACCTTGAAAATGTAAACATTCATTCATTCATTCAAAGCAAAACAGAAAAAACTAAGGAGAAACCAAATACAGTGATGTTGAGTTTCGTAAACTGAGAAGCCAAAGTGCCTCTATTCTAATATTCACTTGCACATGCATTATTTATGACTTACTCCTCTCAAGCAAAATGCCTAAAACACATTATTAGGTGAGATGATTGATAACCGAGGAGTATAAGATAGCAGTGTTTCTGTTCTAAACTTATCAGTTATAAAACAAATTTTCAGAGAAAATGCTTTACTTAGCCACGTTTCTTTCATACGTTACTGTAAATGCCAGTCTGTGTGTTCATCTCATCGTCATTTATTTTATGTGATTATCTGAGCAAAACTTTGTTTGGACTTCAGCTATATCATTTTTAGAGTATTTTTTCTTGCATGCACCGCATTCACCTAGCTGTGTTGTCAAAGTCGCTTGCTTAACCACAAAAAGCCCCAACGCCACTAAAATTAAAGAAGGAGTAGGACAATTCGTACTTTATAGTACAGGTGGGAAGTACAAGGAACAAAACTGCATTATATCCGCCAAAGCTATCACTGCATTGCTGATGCCATGGATATGGTTTGCCCATGGTCTTCGGCTAGGGGTGTAACAATGCTCACACAAGAATGGGAACACTGCGCATGGTTTATTCAGTGGCAACCTATTTAACGCCGTTATCAAGCAGCTGTAGCATGTATGGTGTCACCAGCCTGATGCCATGGCAAATGCCAATTTTTTTGTTTGTTCAATTTGTGGCAACTCCTTAAAAGCAAGTGTTCAATCTTGTTCTATGAGTGACTTAAAAAGCGCAGAAAATCCAGTGCTGTGGATCACACGAGAGTGTTTCAGGAAGTTCCAGGGCATTGCAATATTTCTAAAAACGCTGCAGCACGCGCAGCTGTGAAAGCGGCATGGAGCAGTGACAAAACAATAAGTTTTTTTTTTTTACGCTGTCAAGCACAGCTGCTGCTGAGAGATATCCGGTTGTCAGTGTAAAAACACGTGCTTGACTCACCGTTTTAACAGCTGTACTTTATTATTTGGAAATGGTTAGTGCAGTTTTTAACACTACTGTTGCATCGGTTGATGCACTGACTTACAAGCTTCCTGTTACGATAAAAAAAGCGGGTACCATAAAAATTTTTTGCGACTTTCTTTATACTTATTTGGAAATATATATATTTTCAATGTCTAGAACATTGTGTTCAGGGGGCATGTGGTAGCAGTAAACAAGCACCTGAAAATGGTACAAGACATGGTGAATTCAGTATTACAATGTGGAAATTGGATGAAGTAGGCATCAAAAGACGTCGAAAGAAACAAAGCAAAACATGCGAGGGCAAGAACAAAACATGTATGTGCAAGGAAAACACACTCCAGAGATACACTTTATAGAATAATAAATGTAAAAGATACTATACCCCCTTCCGTCACGAATTGTGATGTGCTGTCAGAAACAAGTCAAGTTCGTGTGGCATAATTCCAAGGCACTCAGTATTACATTTCAAGTAATGAAATGTAGGAAGACGCTGTTCCGTGTGAGTTCTGGTAATAAAAGTTAATGAGTGTGTAAGTGAATATCTAATTATTTTGCCACCAGTCATCTTCAGTACCTCCATAAAAAGAATGCACTATTAGGCTTGAAATGGCTACAAATCTTGTTATTAGGCTACAAATCTTGTTTTTTCGTTAGATTTGTTTCGAGCAAAGAAAAAAAAAACTTTTCACGTCGGTCTTGGAATGCATCACGTCGAGCAATTGTCTAAAATGGTAGTGCGTCCAGCAAAGAGATCCTCTGCAGCAATACGCATGATAATAAAGTTAAATGATCACCATATGTCCACTCAGGCAGTGATGTTCCGTACTACGGCACAGAATTCCCATTCATAGACATGAAAATTTTCTATTTCAGACATTTTTGCCTGCAAATGTTGACAAAATTTTCAGGTTATGTCCCTGCACAAGAAAACTAATTTCTGCCCCCATCCACGCACACACATACTATAATTACACATGTCTGACATTGGCAACTTTTGAAATTATGACTAGCCCCTTCACTGTTCCAGAACAAAAGCATGACTTTATTAATTCGTATACTGTTAGTACACTGCAAATTGTGGGTTCAAGTCTAACACCAGTAGTGAACTAGAAATCGCTCTGCGCAAATATCAAAAAGAAATCGCAAGGGCTATGCTTGCGTGGTGCATGTGCCAGAATTGATTACAGCAGATGAAAACACACTGTGACCGTTAATTGACGGTTGTCATAGGAAAGTCTAACCATTTCTGAAATTCTCCGCAATATCACAAAGGTTCCGTTTTCCCCTTTGGCTCAAAATGACTGGTGAAAATTCCCCAAAAAAGGAAAGATTCCCTGCACGGAACATCACTGCACTCAAGGGGCCTGCACAAGTGTTCACACTAACGTTCAAGCCATTTGATAGAACACACGGTGCGTGACGTGCCATTGAAGTTGGTGTCTCAATTTGTACACACTGTAACTGAAAGGAGTACATACAGTGAAAACTATATACAGTATCAGTACACCAATATCACAGACAGAAGTGATACGATGGTTGTGAGATGTTAAAATTGGCTTAGCATAGGTGACATGTGGTGCTTTATAGGGTTAAAAGCAGTAATAAGAGATTGATAGATAGATATGTGGGGCTCAACGTCCCAAGACCACCATATAATTATGATAGGTGCCGTAGTGAAGGGCTCTGGAAATTTCAACCACCTGGGGTTCTTTAACGTGCACCAAAATCTGGGCACACGGGCCTATAGCATTTTTGCCGCCATCGAAAATGCAGCCGAGATTCGATCCCGCGACCTGCGGGTCAGCAGCTGAGTACCTTAGCCAGTAATAGGAGAGCAGAATTAATTTTTGGGCGTATTGGTCGTGTAGTACTGGTTGAGATAAATGAGCAAAAATAATTAGACGATAAGCAGCACAAGTCCTCATATTTTTTTTGTGTTCCTTATCAGTTTATTGTTTGTGCTAATTTAAATGCGGAATAAGATATGAGGAAATGAACACTACACTGGAAAGCTGGCACAAGGTCGTGCTTACTGTGTGCCTCTGTAACAAGCCTCTGTTTCTGTAAAGGACGTACAGTTTGATGATATCTGACATATAGTTCTATTAATTGCATAACAAATTTGTACATGTCTCAATCGGCATGACTTGAAGTGTGGTAGCTTTTATCTGTGAAGCTTTCTACAGAAGAACACCATCCATTACTTTCAAATCTTGTCGCCATAAGGTTATACTGAATTGTTTATTTTGATTAGGACTACAAGGTTTCCTGGTTGAATATATTTCGTGTTAGCATGTCAAACTCGGCACTAACAGAAGGGAAGAGAAAAAGAAATGATGATGCGGGCTCTTGGTGTCATTTTCTTTGTTCTTTGTGTTGGTGGTGTGTTTCGTTTGCTACAATGTAATAATGTTGGTGCACATTTGTATGTGTTGTATGAGGTGCACCTTGCTGGTCATATAAGTGTATCACTTTTCTCCATCAGTAGTTAAGGAGGTTCAAATGTGCAGTATCATCTTAGTAATGCGTATGCATTGTGCATGCCAAGAAGGGGTACATAAGCCATGAAACTGTAAGGCTTAATTTCACAGAGGTTTATGTGATGCCTATGTGCATCTTTCTTTCTAATGCAAAGCATTACTTTTAGCTGTGAGCACCAGTGTTGAAAGAAGTATTTATAGCCTCCATGAATTACATGCTGTTTATGAAACAGGTTTATTGGAATTCGCATACTTGGACTGTAGTTTCCTGTTAGTCATATTCAGTGTTAAGGGCAGAACTTATATGACTGCACGCGGCAGGAATGAACAAACACACATGCTCTAGCTTTCAACAATGCTTTAGTCGACGCTGTATCAAAAATATGTACATGTGATTACAGGCACTCGGCATGTGCATACAAGAAGTCATCAAGGCATGACTGTGCCTTTCTGGTTAAAGAAACAAAGGTGTGAAGACATAACCTTGGCCTAGCTTATGTGTAGCGGCTGATTCAATAATCAGCTGCGTCGTCGTTGCTTGTGTGCCGTTTCTGTTTTGCTGCTACACCAAACAGTAGATCGCTGCTCACTAAATTTTTCTCGTCGTTCTTTACAGATACTGTGCCAATTCTGGCCCTTTGTAGGCGACTACGTCAAGGACCTTATTCTCGAGACAATCGAGCCGAGCGTGCGTTCTTCCCTGCCTGCATACCTGAGCAGCTTCAAGTTTGAGAGAATCGATCTGGGCGACGTGGTACGCATGCTTGCTTCTCGATCATTAAGATTTCAAGCATTGTAGATACAAAGTCGTCGCTTGGCACTAATTGTCAGGTGACAGTTAACTTCTATCTTGCTTGAACCTCTCTTCATTAAGTAATCAGAATTTTAATGTGATATCAGCCAAACGTTGGTCATATTTATATCGGAGTGCTTTTTATGAGTAAGGGTTCGAATCCGTGTGAGCACGTAATCGCTTTGTTATGGCATGTTCAGTGCATTTCTGCTAGTGAAATTCATGTTAACAGGGGTGCATTCAGTCTACCGTTGTATGGAAAAACAAGAGGACCTTTCTAGACGGAAAATTGCTAGCTATTCCAAGCCTATTACAGCATGGAAAGTCATATGGGGCTCTTTAAATAAATTAACTAATTTTCAGTTAGTTATTTCACTCATTCAATCATTTCTAAAAGTGCCTATGGACAGATTTAGGCCTTAGTAATGGTCTACCTTTGTTACACACAAGACTGAAAATATATAAATATGAGTGAAAACAGAAATAAGAAAAAGAAAAAATACAGAGACTAAATATGCCACGATATGGCATGCTGCAACAATTTTTGTTTTCTTTTGGTATGTGAAGTAGTGTTAGAGACGCAGGTATGCTGCAACTTTTCAGCGTGCATTCTACACATTCTAACATACATAAAGCTAGAGCTTGGAAAACGACGGACACTTTAGAGGGCACTCCTTTGCCAACAAGTGATTAACTAATGAAACGATAGATATGACGTTCTGAGACAGGAAGGTAGTACTGCTTTGTTGGCCAAAGGGACATAGTTCACAGCTTCATACCTCATAGTTCACAGCTTCATACCTCATTCTTACTAAATTGCGTCCGCCCTAATAATATCAATTTGCCCCTTATTTGTTACAGGCATATACTATTTCTTACATGTTAATATTGGAAATGGACAGTTTAGGTTCATTGTGTTGCATACTTGATAGTTCCTCGCTATGCCAAGTTTTGCTTCTCTACTTGCTAAGGTTGAGAGGAAGGAATTAAAAGCAGGCCGTTTAATGCATGGAGCACAATTAAAGGTCTGTGAGAGGGGAGAAGTGGGTTTGGAGGGAAGAGAGGTATACACAGAGTATTAGGTTTTTGCAGAGGCATGGTTGTGTGGGAGTAGTTGCGGGTTGATATTAGATGAACTGTGCTCATCGATGTTAGTGTAGAAAAGTAAATCTGTTATTGTCATGGTCAAAATTTGGAAATGTACTGATTGTTAATTGCAGCAATGTAATTATATCTATAAACTAAATGCAGCTCTTAATTGGAGCTGCCAAAATAGGCGTACAGGCACTGCCCTAAGGCTAGTCTTACATGTGAGAATACATGGTTCATTCTCTTCTCGTAATACTTTGTGGGGCTCCTTTCAAACAAAGTAAAACAGTTTGTAAGAGCTAAGGCTTTCAAGAATGTCTATTTTATCTTTTTAATGTCTATATTATCTCTTTGCTGTGTAGGTGACAAGGTAGCACTGTAACGAGATAATACACGACCGCATGCCACTGTTGTGAATGTAGGACATACGGGGGGGGGGGGGGGGTAATCTTGTGCTTGTCGTCACTATATGGGGACTAAAGATGATGTTTCACACTGCAAACATCCACTCCCTCCACACACAAAGCTCTTGACAGATAAGCTGCAAGGGTGTGTACATTTGTCCTCCTGCATTTGTGTGTAATGGTGTGACTGCGCAGCAACTTGATGTAATGGGAATCATGAACTTGATCCAAGATGGACACTAGAGAACAAGTAATAATAAGGAGGTCAAGGGGAAATTCCAGGTCGACAAACAGAGTCATCTTGTCACTTTACTCACTGCCCGTATTGATGGCAATAGTTTCAGCACTGCTGTTCATGACACTTTTTTTTGTGAACTTGTTTTTTTGACTTGCCAAAACTGTACTTTCCCTCTTTCTGTACAAATATTTGGCACCTACGGCTTGTAACACTCTTGGACTTTGGAACACTGGAATGAGGCATTGGAGAATCGAGAGGATGAAATCTGGCATGTCTTTTCAGATGCGTGTGTCTGAGAAAAAGTAAACCCTGCTCAGCCCCATGATTGATACTTAGGCAGCAATCAGGATATGGAAGAGGACTCTATGCCACTCCTCTGCAGCAGTTTGCAACATTTTTTTGAATGGGGGAAGCCAAGCTTATGTCAGTCAAATCAGAATTGGATATTTATGAAAGTTTTCCTGTGGAGAAAAGGGTGATTGCGCAAACAATGTTGGAAAAAGACTCACAACTGCCACCCAGAAACTGAAGATGTCAGGAGGAGGGGAATGGAAGGGTGGCCCTGCTGCGATAGTCTAGTGGTTATGGCACTATTAACATGAAGGCTGTGGAATCGCATCCCGGCTGTGGCGGCTGCATTCTTGATGAAAGCAAAAATGTTCGAGGCTCGTGTGCCTAGATTTATGTGCATGTCAAAGAACCCCAAATAGTTGAAATTTCCGGAGCCTTCCGCTACGGTGTATCTCATAATCATAATGGGGTTTTGGGATGTTAAACGCCAGATAATATGAGAGGTTCAAAAGTGCAATGGTTCACAGGCTACAAGGCTGTAATCACCAGCTACAGAAGCAGTGTGCGGTATATCTATCGTGCTGTCTGGGCATCCTGCTTTCATTCTTGCTCGAGGAATGGTGCCAGACATAGAATGAACCTTAATTGTTGAACATCAAGATGTATCTTCTGTGCTCAAAGGTGATGTTTGCTACACAAACTGTTGTTGAGACAGTGAAATAAATCGCTGTCTTACGACTGACTCAGCTTAGAAAGTTTTGAGGACAGCTACTTGATGTAGACGAGTCTGTTCATCATCGATGTTACAGGGTCTACTCCTCATTTACATATTTTGCGCTGTCTTCATTTTCACGATCAGTAACTTTCTTCTGCATTGGAGCAGTGCTAAGGCAAATAATTGGTTATGCTTTCAGATGCGTAATAACACACAGATGTTCCAGGGCTGACATTCCCGTGAAACAGTTCAGAAAGAATGATCAATCAGTCGTGATCATATTATACATTAGTAATTGATGTTTTTATGTTCAAACGTGCAAAAGTGGAATCTTTGATAGAGTACTTAGTTACGTTAGACAGGTTTAGTACTGCCTTATAGGTATCTCCAGAAAAAATAAAGCATACAAGCGTCAGCAGTTGACATTCAGCACAGTATTGTACACCCAACAGCAAAAGTTCGTGGGACGTGCAGTTTTACAAAAACCTATACTGCTGCTTTCGCAGGAAACATAGCCTCAGATCACATGTTCCAGTCTGTAGTAGTTAATGACAGCAATCCAGTTACTCGTTACATTAAGTATGCAATTTCTAACAGAGCAAAAATGATCATTTCTAGTGGAGCTCACATTCTTTACACTTTTGCTATTTGGTACACAGTTATGGCCTCTTTCTGATGACAAATGTCAGTTAGCTGCTTTATTAATTTGTCACTCAGACTCTGCCTGCTGTGTCAAGATGTATGAAGAATGTCTAGGTCATTGAATGAATCATCAATTTGATTGTAACTTTAATGCAACATGCTTCATGTTTGCTTTGTGTTGTTTTAGTTATGACTTGCACTTTATTTTGCTCCTATTCTCCAAGTGCCAGAATGAAATTCTGCTTTTCATGCAAAGTACTACACGAGAAGCCCCACAGTGTTCTGCAAGTTCATTCACTTGCTCTCACATATTTCCCGTTTGTTGTATAAAACACTATCCTAAGTTACTTTAACGTATGTTGCCACTGTTGAAATTGATGTTTTATTCAAAGAAAGCGAACTTCTACTTTGGTTATTTTAAAAGGGCCCTGCAACACTTTTTGAGCAAGGTCAGAAAACGCTGCTGGTCGGTAGTAGAGGCTCCTGACAACACATGAGCCAAATATTATAGCGCAGCACGTGGCCTGGAATTCACAATAAATGATCAAAGCCCGCTAAAAATTGCTTTCTCTTTTCTCGGCAAATGACAAACGCTCACAAATCACCCGTAAAAAGCCTGTCTATCAGCCATTGGCTGATTTGAACATGGCACACTCAGTCGTTACAGAGATCGCCGCGGGAGGCCGTGAATTGTCCATGCGTGCACGTGCGATCACACTGAACAAGCCGCGCACTCGAATAAAAAAAAAAAAAAAAGAAAAGGTGCTCAAGGTCACGAGGCACGTGTGACGCTTTTCTTAGCCCTGCCACCTCTCTCTGCTTAGCTTCCAGCACTTTCGTCAGGATAAGAGAAGAGAGCATGCAATCGCAGCATGTGACAAATCTTTGTAACTTTACTCGCACTAAACATATTCTTAAAATTTTGCCGCGTTGAATTTGTGAGGCCATAAGGTCTTCCAGTCAGTTCATTTCATGGTTTCTTAAAGAAGTGTTTATGGGCCCCTTTAAAAATCTACAGACATTCAAAATTGTGCTGTAGGAAAAATGACATTTCCATGTGGTTTTTTTCAAAAGTTGTGTTGGTTTTTACAACTACCAATCGACCTCCTCAAAACTAAAACAGATATTTTTTTAAAACAAAACCTACATTTTCATTAGCATCTCTCATAATCATATGGTGGTTTTGGGACGTTAAACCCCACATATCAATCAAATCAATTACATTTTCATTAGAAAAACGAACCTAGGTTTGCATTCAAGTTCATGGGAATGCTTAGATTAGTTGGTAAGAAATTATGCTAAAGCTTAATATGACTGAGCAATGGTAATCACAGCCAATTTTAATTCCAAGTTGCCCTAATTGCCATGTTGGGGCACACAAAGTAACATCATGTTTACACTGTACCAATGTCTTGTATGAAGCTATTTCTTTGTCACTTCAGTGTTCTATATTGTTGTCTTACGGAAAATAACAAGATATGGCTAAGTTTTGAGCGAAACAAAGGCCTAAATTCGAAATGTGAAAAGTTGGTGTGCTTGCAACTGAGTCAAAGCTGTGGGCACAGCACAATACAAGCATAGG